TTCCTATAAGTATACTTCCTCCTTTTAAGAGAGCGGAGCTACTACTTACGTTGCTATAGCGGGAGCGGCTATAGGAATAATATAATTTCAACATATATGTGTGTGCGTATCCATGCAATAAGCGAGCGCATGCATACATGCGCGCGCTAATGCAATCGGATGCATAAATCTGTATCCCTATACACCGCTTCATGATATACGATGCTGATTATCAACTAATGCATCAAATGGAAAAAGCAAAGAGTTTCCTAACACTCTCGTATGCCCCCATGTTATTTCGGACTTTCATGACTCTTTTTCTGTGACATTCTGCTATGTACCTAAAGTTATAAATACTGCCTGTTTTCCTAGCAAAATAAAACAAGTTTGACACCATTTTCACTCACGAATAGAGCTCAAGGCAATTCTGATTAAACTGTGTTGACCTTCCACTGTTCAACCTGTTCGCTGCCGACCCACCTCTATTGCACATTCGTCTCTCTTCCATAATCGTGGTATTCGATCGACCTGTGTGCGCCTACAAGCACACCCCAGGGTTTATGCACACAGCGTAAATCCGACATATAACACCCCTATATCTAATAATATCGTGGAGATATCCTAAGGGACAGAATACACCCTCTTAACAACACAAAGTATCTTCTTACGGATAGTTCCTTTAATAACAGGATAGCTCATCTCCCGAACCTAACTTCTCGCCCCTCGGCTCTGATCCCGATCCCGATCAATCCGATTCCTTTCAATCCGACTCTTTTTACAACGTAGACGAAGGTACAGAGGGTAGTATAAATAGGTTAAATAGTTTAGAGGATAGCGGCCTACGCTGCTCTAACCGCGTAAGAGAGCCCTCTTATACTAGCAAGGAATTATAGGAGTATTTAGCCTTACTAAAGAAGCAGGCTAGTGCATCTTGTATTAATCCTGAAGCTTTTAGGGCACGCGTCGATCTTGATACCTACGTAGCCTACCTTAGGGCCTATATATTTTATACACGCGTAGAAGGCGCCGACCTAGACTATATCTAATTAGTCATTAAGGGTGCTTATACGCAGCTTTACGCTTTCGTAGCAGATCTCTGTAAGGAGATTCCTACCGGCCCTTATAAACTAAGTAGTTAGGATAATATAATACGTTACCTAGAGAAGGAAAAATAGCTTACTGCTGTATATAAGGAATTCGTTAAGTAGATCAAAAATAGTATATAGAGAGTATACGATTTGCTGCGGTATCGGAAGCCTATCCCTTTGCCATAGGTCTTTAAAGTTAAAGACGATAGTACTTATAAGGCTTGTCTAGTCGTAAAAGGCTTTCGCTAGAAAGAAGGCCGCGATTTCTTAGATATATATATAAGCATAGCTAAAGCTACAAGCTTTAAGCTCTTTACTACTATTATTACCTAATTCGGGTAGAAAATATACTATATAGACTTCGTTTCGGCCTTCCTTAATACGGAAATCACGGAGGAGATTTATATATACCTCCCGGAAGGATTCTGTAACGATTTCCCTAGCAAATATAGCTTATGTCGACATGAGTGGGTGCATAAGCCCCCAAGAGAGTGGGTGCATAAGCCCCCAAGAGAGTGGGTGCATAAGCCCATGAGAGCTATCGAACGTGACAGAATGCGACGGAACGTACACGTGACGACGGTTTTCAACGATTGACATCAACAGATTGCACACATGACGAAAGGGCTTCAACACTCTACATTTCTTCCGATTTCTATGAGATTCTGTTCTGGCGTATTGCCTCGATTTCATGAAGTTATAAATACTGCCTGTTTTCCATAGCTAGTTGAATCAAGTTTAATGATTGTGATGAAGTTGGAGTATTCTTCTATCATAAGTTAACTTCCGATTCTGAGCCGAATCGTACGACGACCTGACCTATACGATTCTTTGCCAATCGTATATTGATTTGACCAACCGTGCACACTCGCTTGCTTGTGCACGCAGAAGGATTTATGCTGACCCCGTAAATCCGACAGCTTATTACTAAAGACCTTATATAGGCTAAAGTAAAGCCCTCGCGAATAGTATAAGGTAGTTTATAACACCTTTATAGCGCTTAGATTTAAGCGATTCGAATCTAATTATTTAGTCTTTACGCTGTATATAAGGGATTATTAAATCTACGTTCTTATTTATTAATCTCTACCTATAATATTCTAGTCTCTATTAGTTAACTCATTGCATCGTGACAGAAACCCGCCTTAGGTTATATTACTCTTAAGCGAGTTTCCGGGATCACTCGAGGGCTCAGTCAGATCTCAACAGCCACGAAACCTAGGAAGCTAGAGATATATATTATCTCGGAATTACACAGTGTGCATAAACCCTAGGGGGTGTGCTTAGAGGCGCACACAGGTCGATCGAATACCACGATTATGGAAGAGAGACGAAAGTGCAATAGAGGTGGGTCGGCAGCGAACAGGTTGAACAGTGGGAGGTCAACACAGTTTAATCAGAATTGCCTTGAGCTCTATTCGTGAGTAAAAATGGTGTCAAACTTATGACATTGTCGTCAAAATTGTTCAATTTAACTAGGGAAACAGGCAGTATTTATAACTTTAGGTATATGGCAGAATGTCACAGGAAAAGACTGATAAAAATCTTAGAATAATATAGGGGCATACGAGAGCGTTAGGAAACTCGCTGTTCTTTCTATTTGATAAGATAGTTGATATCTTATTATCGTATTGTGTAGTGGTGCTTATCCGATTCGTCCAATGTTTATCGCTTATCAGCACGCCCAGTGCGGGGTATCGCATATCCATATGTTGACACACCCCCTCAGCTCTCGATGTAAGGGCAGAATGATATCAAAGTGAGAGCTGAATGAGATAAAACAGAAGAAGATAAGATAAAAGGGCCTTATAAGAAAGAAGGTAAGCATTTTATGTGGTTTTCAAGAGGTTTTCGAGGTTGATTCGGCTGGTGATCGTGATTGATCCGAAAGATATTGTATAAAGGCAATCGAGAGGCTTGATATGGTGAATTGACTAGTTTGTATGCTTTAGAATAGCTGATTAGCCAAGATATATCTTTGATAGTAGCGTTTAGTAAGTGCGTAGGGTTTCCACCCCCTAGTTTTGTGAAATCGGTTGATATAATAAGGTAGTATCGTGTAAAGCAACATTGTGTGAAGAAGTATTGTGTGAAGCAGTAGTAAGAGCTAGGTAATGGTAAAGATAGGGCAGTATGATTGACAGATGATTTAACAGTAGTTGATTCGTCCTCTTTAATCAGGTAAATGCCTGATCTCGTATTTAATCGGCAGATTATCGTTCCATCACTCTCTTCTAAAGTGCAATTCTTGCTGTTAAGGTAGATTCCTGCGCTTGCAGTACGTTCTGCTAATATTAGGTTGATATAGAATCCTAGGCAGTATACAACATTTTTCAAGGGAAAGGTTGTTCTGTTAAGAGATGTCGTTAGGGTGACTGTGAGCACTCCGTAGCCAAGGATTGTGGTCTTAGTGTTTCTAACTATAACTAAGGAAACAATTGGCGTATAGTTCAACAGTAGATCTCTGTTATTCGTAATATAAATTGAGGCTCTAGTATTATAGCACCAGGTGTCGTTTTTGTTAGCAGGAATCCAAATTGTACTTTATTGCTTTGCCGTTAAATCCGACAGCTTCTATATATTCTAGTACAATACGATCCTCTAGGGCTTACAGAAGCCTACCCTAGCTAAACTTGTTGACCTGTTTGTTAAAAAATATCGACTAATTGTATCGTCTATACACCATAGGCGATAGATTGTACACTAAACCTATTAGGGCCAAATACTCGGGGGCGACGATGACGATGCTTCCATTCAATTAGTTATCCCCGATGGTATAATAAATTGCTGATATCTCGCCATGTTTGTTTGCGAAGCCGGTCTCCGAAGCTTTAACTAGATTAAGCCCTTTAGCCCGAGCCTGTTGAATGTAGTAGGACGTAATTGTTTGTGCATCTGATATGCCATGAGGCGCAAAGTGTAGGCCTGCCTTCACAGCGTCGGCGTCAATAAAGTCAGGAGCAAGCGAAGCCGCCACTTCAGGGTGAATCATCTCCTCAGGGAGATCAATGGCATATAATAAGCTCAGTCGGCGGTGCAGTGCCTCCACACCGGAAGCTGTTGATGTGAGCTTTAAACCCCCCACGACGTTAAACCAGCCTTCGATGTACGCGGACACGGTATCTTTAGCGAGGCTCGTTGAGACACGGCGACCCGTTAAGCTAACCAATGAAACCGGGAGCAGGGCTCGTAGACCCTAATAGCTTCTCCGAGCATTTGTCAATGACGACAATCTGTCAGCTGGCGTCTTCCTTGGAGAGGAAGTCAAGCAAGCGCCTATACCGCCTCCGATGATACAGACACGACGTGCGGACAGGTTGTCATCAAGATAGGGATATCTAGAGTTGACGACATCATGCTATGATTCGGGATCTTTAATAAGTAATTGCCAACTCGATGAACTCCGTTTCTTATAAGAGGAGTCTAACTAGACGAACCGATTCGCTTGGCTCTCTAACGCAAGTACCCGTATCTAGCCGAATCTATTCCAATGGGGATTAGCTCATCGTATTCGAGAATAGTGTTATCTATACGCTTCAGCTTACCACAACAGGAAGCGGTGTACGTGGGCGGAAGGGCAAGACCGAAGAGGTCGAGATTTAGTATGCTATGACTTACACTAATTGCTAGGCGATTGGTTGTGACATAAATGTGTCCCTTCCGGACAAATAACGTCGTGGGCCAGACCTATCTCGTGTTGACCCGTATCACGTTCTGCGATAATCACGTTGAATTTTGGATTTGAGTCATTTCAGGCTCGTATTCGCAGGGTTTCTCTGGCGGGCGGAGACGCTCAAACTGTGGGCAATTTTCTAGAAACATAAAACCCGAAGGAAACCTCCACCCTCGTAAAATCAAAGTATCGCAATATAGTAACCAAAACATTCAATCTCCTCTCAACCTTTTCTGGCAGACATTCGATAATATCACACTATGGCCACCCCCACCCCTCCAAGACTCAACCACGTCTTCCATCTCCGATGCCACATAGGCAAAGACACCATCAACGCGGGCCAATACCGTTCCGGTCCACACCGACGCATCACCACGCTCGAAGGAGGTTTCCTACGAGGTATCCCAGGAACCCGGGGTGAAGGCCTCGACGCAACTCTCGTCGCCGGCGGAAGCGATTGGATACTCTTTGACGAGAGCACAAACACGGCGCACCTGGATGTGCGAACACAAGGCCGCACGAAGGATGGACAGTGCGTGTATATTCATTATAATGGATATTCGCGAATAGATGACTCTGCGCGGCAATTCACGAGCAGGAATCCAGACGCGAGAACGACCGAGTTTGGGCAGCATCACTGGTGGACTGCGCCGAACATTGAAGTTAGTGGTATGTTCGCACTCCTCTCACGGATGAATAGCGACTGATACAAGACTAACGATAAAACAATGCATATAGATCCCAACTTCAAATGGGTCGCTACGACGCAATTTATTGGCCGGGGCCGTTGGTTTAGGGAGGGGGATATCCAGGCTGTGGAATATGAGATTTTTGAGGTCGCTCACTAGGTTATTCAGGGCTATCGAGGAGCCCCGTGTACATAAAGACGAATATCTAGAGTGATCGGTTTCCCTGGTACCAGTTTGGCCCCTGCTCCAGTAAACAGGGTATTACTTACATTTGAGCTTGAAGCATTCTCCATGTAATTGAATGATCGAATGAGATAACCAGTCTCAGTTCTTCCCATCAAGAAAAAGGTCTCCCCAATCCAAAAGCTGTTTTTCAATAGAGGTCCAGCTAATATTAAGGGAGTTTAACAACCTTAGTCCCTTATTTTAATATCTACACCCTTCTTAAGGAGCAGCTTAACTATTTCTCAACGTCTACACTAGCTAAGGGTGTCTAGCGAACCTAACCTTTAACCTTAAGATTAAGCCCTGTTAATATAAGTAACTAGCAGAAAATACTCTAATAGTTAGACCTTATAGCTAGGAGTAGCGGGTTTAACCCGTTCTTAGTATAGATTTTAAAAAATGAATCTTCCTTGAGTGACTTTACAGCTCTGCCTTCCTAGCCAGATCGTACAGCTTATAGTAGTGCTAAACGATTGAAAAGTTTAATATTCAGGCGATACAAAGCTCCATTCAAATTGTCATATAAGTAGTAACAGGTTTAAACAAGCGCATTAATATCACTTTGGCGGTCCAAATGTTCTAAAATCAACTGCAACAGTTCAGTTGGTAAGGACAGTAATGATATACTTTGACGGGCTGTTCTTTATACTTCATCCGAATGAACAGAATGATAAATCCGTGGACTTGGATTATAGGATAACAGGCTAGAAGGGCTAAACAGTAAAGGGCTCCAGGTTTTGTTGTGGATTTTTTGGTGGGAGATGCCAAGACCAGCACGGACGCCATTGACTCATGTCAAAGCGAGCTGAATCGGTATAGACTAGTATGCATTTGGACGAATAAGAGCTATCGGAATCATACAGTAAAGATACTTGATTAATCCAAGGAAAAACTTCGAAGGAATGGAAAAGGGACAGGTTGAGCTGTCCCTAGGCGGTGTAACTGAGTATTCGAGTGACCGTACCGATGTCGAAGTGTTATGTACCCGCATGTTACATACAAACCATAAGGAAAATGGTCTGGCTCATGGACCAATCCTATTTCACTGTAATGTTCATCTCCGCTTTTCACGACAACTCACAAATCCAACCAGGCCACAGTTCGCTACACGATGGATCTCGCCGCGGGTGGTGAAATTGAACCCAGCCCTTCTCCGATACTAACTCCTCATGCTGGATTACTGCACAGAGTTCGCAGATTTCAAACCGGACCAGTTGATCGCTAATATCACAATTCGCGTGGTATTTCGCCAATACTTGAAGCGCCTCTCTACGGCGAGCCTTCGACACAAGCCACCGGGGACTTTCTGGCACGGTAAGTAGTCCGAGGGGTTGAAGACCAGGGAAGATGACTTGGATCAAGAATGGAATTTGCCATGATCAGGTGTTAGAAAGATAAAGTGTGTCTAATGTTGATATGACTGATGGGACGGCGCCGCAGTACCAGATTGACTGAAAAATAGCACGTGATAGCTCCTGGTGACGCAGGTGCGCAATTGTAGTGGGAGGAGGAGGTGGAGCAGCGGCCTGTACGAAGCCAAGGCAACGTTTATCGGAGGCGAGTAGCGAAGAAGGCCAGCGGCCATGTGTGGCGGCTTGAACAGCAGCGGCACATATCATAATAGCCGAATTCACTACAGCGCACCTCTTAGTATACGAAATTGAACTATGTATATCTCTGGCCACCAGTAGCTATTCACCCGGAAAGCTGTCCAATTCATCTTTGGCCCCTACGTCTATCACCTTGGGCCTGAAACCCTGAGTCTGGTTGACCTTATTTCAGATACTCGTTTTGGGTTCAGGAGTATGTCAAGATTAACGCTCTGTTAATTCCATCTCAGCATGTGCTTGTCTGAACGTATTGTTGGGCCCTGGCCGTCGCTTTCGATCTATTAACTGGTCTGTATACCACGTGATTGAATCTGTCTTATAGCTGGTCCCAGCATTAGACAGAATCCAACATCCAGGCTCAGGGGGTGTAACCTTTCGAAGAAGTTTCTGGAAGGCCGGTTGGACACCAGTATTTGGCCGATTGGGACGGCGATCCCACGGCCTCCTGATCTGATCTTGGCAAGCCTTGTATTGCTCTAGTATCCGGCAACCAGAAACTTTCTGTCCACCTTATCAACTAAACTACAGACAGGCATCGGGCCATATTCTGAGAGCATTTACATCGGCATGGTCAATAGTATAAGTCCACATAATCGGACTGGGTTTAGCAGTTATCTCCGGCTTCTGCATTGGCCCCATGCTGGAGCAAAACTTTCACAATCCTGAGATGGCCTCGTTCCGTCGCTCTAGAGATTGGCGTTCTACCGCCTTTATCTGGTTTGTCTGTATCAGCGCCATACCTCAGCAGTACTTTTACAGTGTCAAGGTGATCCTCCCCAGACGCCCAAAAAAGCGCAGTCCGCCCCGCGTTATCGGCTGAGTTCACGTCAACCCCATGTTTAACTAGAGTTTTGATCACATTCGTCCGGCCTTCTATTGCTGCCAGAACAATCGGAGTACGGCCGAAGAAGTCTCGGATAGTTGGATCTGCTCCGTGATCAAGAAGCGCTTTGACCACCAAGATATTCCCGTTACTTGCCGCAAGAGCCACAAATGTATGGTTATACTGGGCCTGAAAGTTAGGATCGACGCCGTTGCTGGTGAGGAGGAGTTCGACAAGGGCAGGATCACCACAATGCACTGCCCAATATAGAGGAGTTCGTCCCATGAAGTCCACAGACTCTGGATCAACGTCATGGCAGAGAAGAGCCTTAGAGACTTCTCGATGATTCCCTTTGACTGCTGCCGAGAGAGGGGTGGTGCCATTGACGTCTGGCTTATCAGCATTAACTCTTGCCGCAAGCAGACTTTCCACAATCTCCAGGTGCCCGTACATGGCGGCGAAGAAAATGGCAGTGCGTTCATTCGAGTCTTCTCTCTCGGGATTGAGTCCATAACGCAGAAAGTATTTCGCAAGGTCGATCTGGCCCGCTTGTGCGGCAATATCGAGAACTGTATGTCCATTGCAGTCGTACGGATTCAGCCGTTGACTGAGTACAAGGAACTCAAACATGTCTTTATCCCCTGTCCGTACAGCCCCTTCAACAGCACTGAGCCCGGTGTTAGCTTGGAAAATCTCGAGATTTGCGCCCGCCTCCAGCAGCATCTTGACGTTTTCCACGGAACCCTTTAAGAGCGCCAGGTAGAGTGGGGGGTCATCCTCTGGATTCATATCAGCACCGTGCTCGTTGAGAAGCGTAAATATGGGATCGTGTCCGTATTGGACTGCAAGCGAGATTGGAACACGCCGACAACGACCATAACCACAGTTTGGATTCGCCCCATGTTCAAGCAGTAATCTCAGGATATATGGATTGCCCTTCTTGGCTGCAATGCAGACGAGGGACATGTTTTCGTATCCGTAGGCGTGTTCCAGTTGCTCATCTGTGTCCCTCTCATCGTCGTCCTCGCCAGACACCGATCCAGTACTGAATTCAATAGGGGCACCATACACCAGAGACAAGCGGACAGTCCCTTCCAGGCAATTAGACACTCCCCACTTCAGAGCAGAGTTTCCTGAGTACCGAATATTGTGTCTATAAAGGACTGGGTTCAGGAGTTTGTAGAGGGTGCGATTAACCCGCACAAGAGCGTTGATATCCCTATCTTGGCCAAGTACCTCAGCAATGAGAAGGATCGGCAAATCGCCGAGATCTGTGAACTGCATGATCTCAAGGAACTGTTATATCACTATACAGAATTAGAATTGCTCTCTTTTATTCAAGGACGTTAGGGCGACGTCTGGGTACGCTTACGAGCAATGCAGGGGCAGTGGGACATGTGGGCCGTTCTTACAATAACAAAATTGGTTCCAGGTATCTCAGGCGAGTCACGTTACACTAACGTGGGAGACAAGCCAAGGCAAGGTCAGACCAGCTGAAAGGGCATCGCAAAGGCGGAGCAGCAAGGGGACATGTCCGCATCACGTGAAGCGCCAAGTGTAGGACCAATGACAGCGAGGCTTGGCGCGAACTGGCGACGCGCGGGCTACGCAAGCTCCGCACGTCGACGCCCGGAAACGAAGTGAAGAAAGTGAGGACAACTGTACTGTAACATTATGAGGATGACAGTGATATTAGACTATACGGTGAGGAAGGGACGTGAATGTTTGTAGAGAAGATCAGCCAGCTTTTAGTATCTGTTATTTCCCCCGGTCGCAACTCATTCCGTCTACCCCCAATTGAATCCCTAGTAAGTTTCCTTTTCCAAACTGCCAGACCCCTACTACTTAGGCCTTTCTTTGGGATGGCTTATTTCCAAGTATTTGGTTTTACTGATCAATTTCCTGAGGCTATCTTTCGAAAGTCAGACAATCTACCTGCCCTTATCGATACCTGCGGAACAGCCACTTCGGTTGCCCTGTCTGATCCTCTCCAGTCTTCTCAACAGCTAGCTCCATCCTCGTCAAAACGCGTTGGCCCTCGTTTCACCGGGTCTGGATACTGTACAATACAGATTCTAAGATGGAGCAATCCTGCTTACGACTTACGGAATGGTGGCTACAGACCGAGTTTCGGGTAAAGGATGATGCTAGAGCTTTGATAGACTCGGATTATCTATGATTTGAGAGGGTAACGGTGACGAGAAGTAGCGAGGCGTATTAAGTCTACGTCATAAATAGGATATATACTGGTAGGCACGACTAACTACACTATATAGAACGACGGCACTTCTACTACTTTATACTTTATATAGAGCTAAACGATCTTCACATACGGGCGGATAGACTATATACTCTATAGATTAAACTATACTACGTTATCTACCGTTTGACTGATTTGCTTAATGCTGCTATTGATCTTGTGCGGGCAAGGAGGCAGACTGATTGTCCAATACGTTGAAGGACCCCGAAAGGCCCAATAAATCGTGGGATTGACTTCTTGGAAGGTTGCTTGAGCCTGAGGATTTTGTAGAAAGAAAGACGAGATTGCGGAACTCGTACTCTTTGGGCTAATGTTATGAATTAGAGAACTTTACTTGCGAATCCAGAACCTTCTTGTTACGATATACTACATGAGGTTGTTCAGCACTGGGGCTTGAGGCCCCGGGCCTAGCAGATTGGAGGCACTTCGGCAACAACTCACCGACGATCCGTTATTAAACTCCCCGTGAGCACCTACAAGGAAGGTTCCTGATGAAGGGTACGCAAAGCATCGTGTTTATCCCGCTCCCCCTCTCCATTCAACGATGCATTTCCTTCCTGCTCTGGACAATGAGACTGTATATAGATTGAGTTATGACGAGGAGGTTCTAGGCTCCTCAAGAAACAGTCTTTGACTTTTTAGACAATATGACTTGGTTCATCTCTCATATATGGCATGTGTTTTCATCGCATTCCACAAAAATTCAAACCCCAACCCAGTCGCTCATCTCACTCGTAGCAACCAATTCTAGAATATTGGTCATTTCCCTCTTGTCCGGGGCGATTATAGTTTGCCTTGCCTTTTCGCTGTGCCAGATCTTCGGGTTATAAAACTGTATTGGGAGGTCCTCGTTGACGAGCTCCAGGCTGTTCATAATGAAACCCGCAAACGTCGAAAAATCCGAGCTTGCGTCTGTTTCTGATTTCCGACTTTCTGCAAAGTCGAGGGCCGTCAAGAATTGCTGAAACCAGAAGTTCTTGTGGGTGAGTGCGTGAACCAGAGGACCTGATACTCCCGAGAAGAGCTCTTTTGCGCGTTGAGCCCGGAGCGAGGGGGCTTTCTCTGAATTCTGGGACTCTATGTCGGAAACAAGATTTGTATATAAGAATAGCAACAGGTGTTTATGGTTTTCAATCACCGGATTTCTTGCATTAAGCTCCTGCGAGCAATCCAGAACGAATGTCGCGCGAAAAGAAAGCTCTTCGACTGAAGGTTCGGGGGGGTTCATCTCCGTTAGAAGAGCTTTCATTCGTTGCACAAAGATTGGATTGTCATTTGAAATCCAAGATTTTTTAATCAATGAGTTCAGAGGCCGAATATCGGGGGAAATATATTGTGAACGGGCTTCCATGCTGTCCCATACCTTTCGAGAATAGCACCGGTTCCAGCTTTCACTATCGATTTCGACCAGCTCCTTGAAGCCGCTGAACGGAAGACGAGAGACTGGACTTATGCAACCAATCACCTCCTTTTCTGATTGCGGATAGATCATATATAGAGATCGTAGGGCAATCTGCACAACCTGAAGCCAGAAATATGCTTGTGTTTCGGAGTACGAAGATATGAAAGGGTAGCTTTTCCGTAGGCGCATCGTACTCCTCTCAAGGGCGAGAAGTGCCCGCGCTGTGACGCCGATTCTATGCAAGTCCCTTTTGTAGACGTACTGGAGAATCCCAAACGCGTATCGCAGCAGTCGGTCGGGGTCCTCTTGAACCGCGGCCAGGTCAGTTGACCGATCAGGCATGAATGATACCCACGAGAGAGGCTTCAAGGTCGGGGGTAACCAATTTTTGGTAGCATAGCTAGACCAGAACTGGCTACTCCAGTAATACTCTTTCCAAAGCTCGGAATCCATGAGTATGGGGGAGTGGCGCAGAACCCCATAAAAGCCCCTCAGGCCCGGAAAGTCTCGCATCCCCTTCTGCTTCCGATAATCTTGAATGGCATAATGTGTTTGCAGAATCCAGAATAGGACCATGGTCCTGGTGCCAGTCAGATTGTCTTTCATTGTCGAGCAGTGGAGCCTTTTCTCTTTGCTTACTTGTGTCGCGTTTTTTCAAACCATCGAGATGACGTCCTGCTCTGGACGTTCATATACCTGTCAAAGGTACTTGCAATATCAAAGCAAGTTTCTCTGCTTCTCACGGATGGTAAAGGGTTAATCGCGTGTTCACCCACTGATTGCAATACAACCATGCAGAGAGCTTTTATAAGGTTATAATGACTCCAGTCAATAAAAACACCATTTTGTAAATATTCCCAAAAGACTCTGGGATCCATATCGTCCTGAGCAATTTCCCTTTCAACGAGCCTCTGTAGAGCGAGATCCTTCTTTGAAGGCCCAGATGGTGGAAGTCGACGGGAATAGTCTCTGGGGTCTCTCATTGTAACGAACATGTCTTCTAGTACGTTAAATGCCCCTTCCGCGGACTTGGCGTCCAGTCTGTGAGTGAGTACCTTTCCAGAAATTCTGCCCCTATAGTTCTCAAGCTCCTTCTCATATTCTTGGCGAAGAGTATTGATTCTCGCTTGCTTGAACCCCCAGTCAGCTTGCTTGTTGAAGGCAATCCAGAGATACTTTGCCCCGATGTTGGCCATGTCCTGCAGTAAATGAGAAAAGGACACTGGCACTCGATCGGCGGGATTTCCACAGTCATGAAGATAGATGACCAATGTGGCTGGAGCGAGGTGGTGCCACGCTAGCTGGCGAGATTTTTGATCACCTTTTTAGGCCCGGATGTCAGCGTCCGTATTTTTTTCCTAGGGGTCTTGTAAATGATCTGAGGGTAATGAAACTATACCTCCTATTTCCCAGATGTGCCAATTGTAGCCTTTTGGGTACACCACGGTCTCGACATTGACGTTGACGGTATGATTCGGGTGCTCTCGGATCTGCTCGAACTTCAGGCGATCGAGAAACGTGGTTTTGCCACATTCATAATCACCAATCAGGAGAACCTTGTATTCGACGGGTGCAGGTCCGTAGAGCCATTTGGCGAGAGCTGCGATAAATCGGGTTAGCTGGGTAGGCATTCAAGCTGGAAGCAACGTACCATTCATGGTTGTTTGGCGGACAAACGGAAGTTCTTGCAAATATACTGATCACAATCTGGATTTTGAGCCTCTTGGGGGGACATACACACAATTCATTAACGCCCGGCGGCTGCGCTAAGCTAATTCTGAACACTGACCGCCTATTGATCCCTGGAGACCCACTAAGCCCTAGTACTTACTATCATAGTCTTTGAGAACTGATGCCTGCTTGTTGAGTACTCTCGTAGATTGCCCAGAAACAAGGCTGGACACAAAGGATAACGATTATGCCCGACCGGGCTTCCAAATTTTCGAAATCATATCTTTACTCGAGATGGTTTTTGGAGGCCATAGTTGTATCCGACGCGTAATTTATTCGTTTTGTGATGACTCGATCCCTTTGACCTCGAGGGTTTGCAGGGTTTGTCGTCTTCTTTGGCCCTGCATGAAGCAGGCCGGGGTTTTCCTGTCAGGACCAGGCCTTGTTCCTTTCCTTTGTGCTTCAGGGCCTTATAGACCCTGTTCTGTTCCCTTCTGCCTTTCTTCTTCTTCCTTCTTCCCTAGATAGACCAATTTGACTCAGTCTCCGTCTCTCTCCGCTTCCTGTGCCAGCAGTGCCGTGGGCGCTGTCATTTTGACTTGCTCGTACAGTGGTATTTCCATAGGTCTTCGTCCACGTTGACCTAATATTCTGCCGGTCAAATGATTCCTCTATTTCTAGAATCAGACGACCAAAATTCATGATTCAACTTGACATATTGTTCTAAACATGTTTTCTCGATCTTCATCAGGATTTCATGCCGAGCGACTAGAGGGTGATTTCTAGCCTCGAGAAGTTCAAATTAAAAGCGGAGTATCAGCGGTAGAGCACGGGTAGTCGAAGACGTATGGAACAGCATTGTATTAACTTATTCGTAATATACTAACCCTAGACAAGGGAATTGCTACACACACAACGGCTTTTACTAACTAACTAATAGTTTGTTAGTTAACTTCAAAGCTGCTGTGTGTGTTACAATTTCCCTAGACGAGTGTAACTAACGTAATTCACGGCCGAGTCGTACACCTGGTCGAACCGTAGGAATACCATAGTAAATGCGATAATTTGGATTGGAATATTTCAACCCACAGGGGTTTATATAAGCTGATCTGACACTCCAGTATCAAATATGTTACATTAAGCCTATTTATGAGGCTAAAAACTACTGTGAAGGAATCTAAAATAGGTATATAAACATGCATCACCTTGTCGGCGTGTATTTTTCGTAATGCATGTAAATAACTATGTGTTAATTTATTGATAAACTTATACTAGTCTATACATTACCAAGAACTAACCTACCGAAGCTCATGCAATATTATGTTTTCTCGTTGATATACAGCCACCTGAAATATCGCGTTTACTATGGTGGTCGGGGTGGACGGCTCGACCGTTAACATTGACTTCCCAAAAGTTTGGACACCCTGGGACCTATATTGACTTGATTACATAACATTTTGCCGGTCGTAAACCCTTCACCAGCACTTCTTGCTATCGATAACTCTCTCAGGAACCTAGCTCATACTGCTCAGTCAGCTCTGGTATGCATCAAATTGGGTGGGTCATTAACAACTCATGGTAATATCGCGCTGTATACACCACTGCGTGTTCTTAGATCGGAGATCTGGGAAGCGGTATGTTACTGTCCTAGACGGTCTGACTCAGACCATCGGAGTGTGGATCCTGAGAGGGTGTCCAATCTTTTGCGTAGAGCTCCTTGTCCGCCAGATCAAAGAATAAGCATTAGAAATCAACATGGCCAAAAGAATTTCTGGTCTCTTATCAGGAATTTTACTACGGAAAGACAAATAACTGTGATCGGCATTTCCGAATTCCTAATACTAGTTCAGCAAATATAGGTTGCTGAAATCGAGCAAGAATCGATGTCATGAAGGTAACCTAACTCCGCTCACTCTTGTTGCGGGTTTCGGGTCATCGTCTGCGAAAAAGCATGAAATCAAACCGAAAAAAATAGAAAATTTCGCTGGTACCCTCCGAATACGACCGTCGATACGGAAATAGTGTAGATCTATCCTATTACGGAGTAGAAGTAAGACGATCCGCAATCCCTGGTGGAGCCTAAGCTCGTGATCAGGACCATCTCTATGGAGTAGGATTCAGGTTATATGTTAAGAGTCAATAGCCTTGTTGCCATTTCCCATCCCCGCTTTCCCGTGTTCCTATGGGGACAGCTGTTTGTCTGGGTGATCATGGAGGCTCTTTTCCCTTAACACCGGAAAGCGGGTCCATCTATCCAAATTTGGTGCCAAATCTAAATAATTATGTACGACACCTGACACTGCCTGAAATGGGAGGTGACTGCACCGGTATTTTCCACATGCAATCCCCACCGCTGAGATTTTGCAAAGGGAATTGCGTCCCCCCAACACAAAATCCCGCACTTCCTCCACACTGACAATGTTTGACGGCTTTTCAGTCTTTCACAATCTTCAACAATCCATGGCGTCTTCTCCCCGCCAACCCTCCCTCGATGCTGAGGATTCCAACCCCAAGGCATTGGTTACGTCAACGAATATTGAGGACTTCTTCCTCCCAGTTATCCTTTGCCTCCATGACAGTGGTTCCTCTGCGACAATCTTCCAATCTCAACTCCGGCATATGGAACAGGAACTTGGTAATAGGTTCCGTTTTGTATATGTCAATGGTCCATTTCCCTCGAATCCAGACCCAAAGGTCCGCCTTGCCTTTGAATCAACTGGGTCATTCTACAGCTGGGTAAAAGACATGCCGAGTTCAGGTTCAGAAAAGGAAGACCTCCCTCAAGAGGAAATCGACAGCATCGACAGGGTCCTAAACCAAGCAATGATGTTCGAGGGCCGACCGGATAGAATATGGGGTATCTTAGGCCTTGGTCAAGGCGCCAGGTTAGCGGCTGGTTTGATTTGTCGCGAGGGTGATCGGCTAGAAACCGGCGAGAAATTCAGAGCTCTGAAGAATCTGCAGTTCGGAATTATTATCAGTGGAGCATGGCCGCCAATTATGCTCACGGAGCAAAAGAAAGGATGGATAGACGTTCTCGGCTTGCAGCAGCTCCCAACTCTATACGTTTGGGGAAGACATGCGCCTGATCATAAATCATACATGAAAATGGTCTCCAAATGTGATTGGCTGCATACGTACACACATGAGTTGGAAGGGCCCCAATACCTGCCGGTGACGGAGAAGGAAACAGAGCAAATCGCGAGAAGAATCATTAATTTGGCTCTGGTGCCAATTATTTGGGGTAGGCAGAGCATATTCTTCACCTAGTTTAGATTATGGTACGTATAGATTGACTCGTCCTGCATCAACCTGGATGCGATTTTACACAGAATAGTCTGACCATTCCATCCGTGCAGTCTGTGTGATCCCTTTCCGGTTCCTCTCAACGCCTGATTACGGGGTCGCGAAGCTTGCACCACTCACAGGAGGCGTGTTATCCGAATTGCGAAATGCAGTGGTTTTGGTCCTGGACACTCGTGATTTTGGAGTTGCTGATATCTGGAGTGTATTGACAAAGGCGCAACTTATCTCGGTGTGGAGCGTGTATTCTTGTGGACCAGGCCCAGCAGCCGCCCAACGAGGGACACATCTTAACATCATGCTCGGCGTCGCTGTCACTGATACGGCCGTGGTTGTGGAACGTCTCTTGACCGCCCGGGTTCCAAAATAAGCTCTGCTAAGTCCTTTCATACCCAGGTCCCAATGGATGGTAAAGCTTTTCAAGAGCAACGGTATCGTGCTATGGTTCTACTGTCCTACAACAGCAGCATACATCAGCGTCTGCCACTCATTATTCCGTGTATTGATGTCTGCACGGCTGTCAATCACCATTTCCATAGATAGTACGGGCTTAAATATTCATACCGCTCTCAATAAAGTATATATCGCCATATCTCGGTCATGTATAGTCTATAATCGCCAAAAGCAGGGCAGTCTTCTCATCCCCACCTGTCCCTTCTTTGGATCAGCTAGAAAAGCGTTCGGAAATCAGCATAATGCAAATCTGTCCCTTAAATTTTGAGATCATGAAGTATTGTCCAAGAATCGTTATTGAGTGCGTCAAAACGAGCACTATGCTTAGCCAGAAGTCGAATCGTGGCCCCATGCCCCTGTCCCGCCGCAAGATGGAGGGGAGTTTACCCTGTCTTATTGGGACGTGAACATCCAATTCTTTCTCTTTAATTAAGAACCGTAGGATCTTCACGCTTCCCACTATCGCGGCAGAGTGCCGTCCCTCTTCATCGATTAAATATGCGCTCTGTATTTAACAATGAGCCATAACATTTCTTGCATCCCCCAACTAGTTGTCATATGACGAGAAGCGTTCAGTTCACGTAAAAGCGTGTATCGGTCGGGTCAGCCCCGTTCTCTGCGAACTGTTTAATGATCGTCCCGCGGAGGAGCGCATTCCTCCTCGATTGTCTCAGTATTCGAGGGTTTAGCATTCCTAATACCCATCGTCTCCACCACCTGGACCGGGAGAAATTTCAAGGGGTAAGACGGTCGAAGCGTCCACACAAGATCCATTTTCTTGGCGGAGAAAGATAATAGCTTGATTAATAGCAATGAACACACTGTCAGACGCCGTGATCCGCAGATCTACAGCCAAAAATTCTCGCAGAACGTGCATGTGCTTCCGAGTTCATTAGTCACCTTTCTCTCACCACGCTCGTTTCTGTGCATTTATACATATAATATAATTACCGTACTTTTAAGACTTGGATGAAAGATACAATCTGTGATGGTCGCTCATATTCTAACCAGTTTGGCATAGAAGGGTGATTCAAAGGAATGCTTATTTGGAGGCTCTTTGGCCCGGAATAGGAGCGCGAGTTTTGTCCGACTGCCATTGATCTACGCAGGAATCTCCACTTCGATCCATCCCCTTCGGTACGGCTGCGCCCTATCTTACTTTCTTCCCCCATCGCACCTTCCAATATAATCAAGTTTAGAATATTTGCACAAGTTATCAATGCAAAGGGTGGTTATCCAAAAAAAGAAAAATTCACATCCACTCTCTCTTGCGCTGCCATTGCTGCTTCGACCAATATTTAGCTCTCCTGCATATCTCAGGGTGTAGCGTGTGGCCGTACAGTCTCGTATCCTTATCCAGGCGCTTCTTGCGATAGCTTCTTTAGCCTTTCTTTCTGCAATTGACCGATTTATGTCGGGTGTTTGTTTAAATACTAGTCTGGCTAATGCTAAGGCACAGATACGAGATAATATAATCGTATACCGAAGACTGACTGGATATTGAGTTCGAGAATACGAGTCTAATCTCCGATGAAAAGCATTAGTCAATATCTGATATTCTCTTGGAATACGCACTTTGACAGATACATAAATAGATAGTTGCTCTACCCTACAGACAATAAAATAATCTCATCGGATTCTTCAACCTTCTGAATAACATTTTTAATACTTTCACCATGAAGTTTGTTTCTCTTGCTCTTGCTGTTATGCTCCCTGTGGCTTCCTTGGCTGGAGCGGAAACTAGTCATGGTCTCGAGAAGCGAGACGTTTCCGCTAAAACCGTGGTCGATGGTCTTGCCTATAGACATTGCCCGAACACAGCATGCACTCTTATGGGTCGACTTAGCGCGGGAACTGCTCTGCATCTATATTGCTACACCAGATCAGGAACAACCGAGGTGCATGGCGACTAGTAAGTGGTCCCTTCGTATAATTTGACTTGAAGTCTTAAATATCTAAAAAGACCGCAGCGGCTGGGCCCGGATATCTCGACCCGCAAATCTCGCGAACTCCTGGGTGGCTCTTGCCAACGGTGACTATGTTACGTGGTATAGTAAGTCTATGGATTCCATCCTTGTGAATTCAAACGGCGTTGCAAGTCTAACTAGTGCTTCATTCTATAGGTGACTTGCCCGCTTGCAGTTAGCCTGCCTTTCTACAGAAAGTCTCGGGACCTGGATTAGCTACGGAGCTGACCTTCAACTGCTTTGTATCGCTGTTCTACCGTATTATTTGCTGTATTAGTGCCTTCACCTGTAGTACTTTATAAGTATTTCTATGCATGATTTGATTTGATTTGATTTGAATATTATTTAACGTCGTCGGCAGGTCACGTGACACTTGACCTGCTACCTCCCAAGGGTAACCAGACGGACGTGCTACTGTACCTAAGCGAATGAGTGTGACAAGCCAATCGAGATGAGAACTGAAGTCTACACTCGGTGCTATCTGACGAAGTATCAAGTCTGGGGAAAGAAGAGAAGAAGAAGATGCGGGGTGAGAGGTAGGTCCTTTTTTCACCCGCTGAGGTAGCGGAGCTTATCAGGTGCCACAATATTTTGACACCCGCTGAGCTATTATTGATACCCGACATGAGGTTATCCACGAATGCCGGTGCCTCAGGCCACCAGGACCCTGGTAAGCCGCCAAGTTTTCGGTGGAGGTTCGTTGGGGCTTCGCCACCAGTACGTGTGCGGACTCCTGTAAGGAAGGCCCTTGTAGAGGTTACACAAGCCTCGTGTTTCACCCCGCTTCTATTCCCCTACCAAGATACATCTCCTTCCTGTTTTGAGCGATGTGACTGTACATAAATTGCCCCATATTGAAGAGGTTTTACATCCCTCAAGAAACAGTCTTTGACCTTTCTGAACAATTGACTTGGTCCCTTTCTCCTACCTGATTGACAGGCCTCTATCCTGACTTATAGAGTATCTTTACACTTAGTATGTTGACGTGGAGAACGCGCGGGATAAACTTTCCCTCCTTAAGCTTTTTGTAAACCGTATGTTGGCCTAGTTAGATTGAATCAAGTCTTGCTTTAGCCCCTCACACTGGTAGCCTGAGGCACCGGAATTTGTGGATAACCTTATATCAGGTATATCGTTACATTCCTCTCTTAAACAACGTAAGGATAATATTAGAATACTATTACAGTGAAATTATACTGTCTTCTCTTTTCTTTTTCTCGTTTTTTATACAGCTTTATATTATAATATAGAAGACTACGTGAGCCATATCGCTTACTTAAGGGGTCTAAGAAGTTTGGCTAGTGAAATCAGAATTACAGATTATCCTCCGAGAATACCCTACTATTTATAGTTAACCCTACCTACTTATATCACTTTTCTTTAACTTCGATAATCACCTAGCCTTAGGGGCTAGTGCTTCCTATAGTAAGGTTCTAATCCTAAGCTAATTAGAGACATAACGTAGTTCCCGGCTTACCTGATAACCCGGTTAACCCGATAACCCACCCCCATTAGAAAATTTCAAAATCGATAATCGCAACTAACACCAATTAATCTAACTAGATAACACGATTTTTATATGACGTAATCCTGTGGCCAGTTTGTCTATATCCACTGCAGGTAGGCGGAGCCCTCCTGGTCGGTTGAATCGGCTGATTAGGCAGATCGACCTCCTTATGCGATACTACCTTATTAGCTTCTACTGGCTGAAATAGCTGCTGAGCTAGCTGTAGGCCCTCTTCGATTGATAGGCCCCCTTCGTGTGTAATCCGTCTAGTCGATCGAGTGCGCTTTTGACGTTTCTTTTTATTCGTTGCGCGTAGATCGGCGTTCTCCTTCACTGGTAGTGCAGTGTTATACAGTGCAATTTTATGGCCCTTGAGAATCTGATTAACTACTATATTTAACGGGCTTGGAGGGCTTTTTGACCGCTGATCTATTAGATCTTTTATTATTTTAGCCTGCTTTTGTAGCTGGGCTACTGTTCTAGGCGTTTTTGGTGTGAATTGGCTAGATCTGCTGCTTGGTCGGCTTGATGGGGGTGAAGGCGTTCGAAGAGATATAGTAAGTGTTGGAGCATTCTTCTATCATAAGTTAACTTCCGATTCTGAGCCGAATCGTACGACCTGACCTAACCCTTTCGACCTGACCTATACGATTCTTCGCCAATCGTATACTGATTTGACCAACCGTGCACACTCGCTTGCTTGTGCACGCCGAAGGATTTATGCTGACCTCGTAAATTCGATATATCCTTTAGCAGATTAGGGTATTTATTAGAGTAATACTTTTCGCTCCTATAGTTAAAGTATCGGTTACGTTTCCTGTCCTCTCTAATAGGGTTTAAGTAGTCCTTCGCCGGTATATTCTTATTAGTCTAGGGCTTTCGGGATCTTTTATTATCTTAGGTTCTCTTAGTTAAATTCCTCTTTTAATTTATCTTTTATCGCTATAAGTCCTAAAAGTAATACGTAATATCGATTATCTCCTTATAGGTCGCCGGGAGTTTTATAATATAGTAGCGGATATTATTCTAAAGGTTATATAGAAGTTTCGTAAAGAAGGAAAGGGCTCTCTCTTTCTTAGCTACCCTTAGGAAATAACGTTCTAGGGTATCTAAATAGACGTAGAACTCTTATAGGTCCTTATCTTTCAGCTAGCAGGCCCTTTTAAGCTAGCCTATTACTTTAGATTAGAGACTAGCTACGTTCTTAATAAGGATTAAGGTCCTTAAAGTAGAGTTAATCTTCTTTAAGGTTTCGGTCAGTCATCGGTACCTTTTTATTAATATATCGGTACTATCTCTACTAACAGGTTATATCTATATAGCTTAATACTCTAAGGATTTAGGTCCGACTATTGTGATAGCGCCTTAGATCTCCTTCGAATTGCTATTAGAGGTCTAGGAGCTATTCTTATTGTTATTATAGTAAAGAGTAAAGAGAAAACGTAGGAATATTTTTAAGCTTAATATCCTAGCCCTTTCCTAATAATTCGTAAGGGTCCTAGTACAGATTCGATAGAGTTTTGTCTAGGTTTCGTCCTATAAGCTATAATCTAAGCGTTTCGGCTTAGTCTTATAAATCTTCAAGCCTCTACAGCTTTTCTATAGTAGCTTAAGTAGCTACGAGGTTAGTATTAAGATCGGTCGGGGTTAAACCCTAGTGTTACGCGGTGCCGACTGGTCACTGTGAGTTAGAAGGTCCTTGGGTTATACTTGCCTAGTTCCAACTGCGGATTCCAAGAGTATCTCGCAACCGTACCGTTGCTATGCTAAGCCTTACGTCGGGTTCGGGTTCTGTTGAGTATCTTGCAGAACGTGCCAGAAGTGCGCGCCAAGTAAGTCAATCACTAAGTATTGCTACCGAGTGAATCCCCTACTTGTAGGTTGGGTTGTCTTGAGGTGAACTGTGAAGTGCAAAGTACTAAAGGTAGTAACCAAGTAACAATGTGCAATTGATCGCGAAGAACTAAATACATAATGCTAAATGAGTGTCCTTATATATCCAGTCCTTCCTACTCCCGAGCCTACCCCCAGGGGGTAGCCCTGGAGTAGCCGTATACTCCTGCGTCTACTCCTTAGAGTCACGCCGGGAGTATATCCTTAGAGTCACGTGCTGGTTTTACCGTGTTCTCGCATTTAGAGTGTAATCTAGGTGCGGGTAAAATAGTGGGCGTTTCCTGCGTCGCGCTAACCGTCTCATTACGTAAGTGGGTATTGTTTGTGACAGTTAGTCGCAGGCCGTATCCTGCTCCTGTTCCGAAGTATTCTCTTAGGGCCTTCTAGGGCGTGCCCGAGTATACCGAAACGTACGTAAGGACGCTAAGCACTAGCGTCCGTAGGATAATTAGCTCGCGGTTGCTCCTTAACTTCCTACAGTCCAACTGCCCCTTTTAAGGTTCGTAATATTATCCCCCCTCTTCCTGTCCTTCGTCCTCGAAGGATTTAAACGTTGGTCCCCTCTTAAGTAAGTGTATATTTTTCTTTTCTCTTTCTGATTTTTCGTTGTTAGCTATATACCCCTTACACTATACCTGTTGATAACAAAACTCGTAAACAGAATAGGCTTATCTAGTATCAATCTATTCTGACTAACAGGTCTGTTTCTGAGTCGCCCTGCGAATATTACTTCTCCTGTGGTGTTAATTGTGTGATAGACTCGAAGTATCGTAACTATACTGAGTACACCTATTGCGGTCGTAAATACGCAAAGAAGTTTTATAGCGAGTCCGAGTGGCAGAAGGTTCTCTGTGAATAGAAGAAAATTGATAATAAGCTTACTTAGGCTAAGCAACAGCAAATAGAAATAATAATAAAGATTATCCGCCTTTGTAAACAGCGACAGTTCTTGCGGACTCGCAACGATTAGATATTAAATCACGATACCGAAATAATAGAGCAGTTAGATACTAAGAATCCTCTTAGTGCCGAGGATCTTACAGAGCTAGGCTGTCTTACTGATAAAGACAATACTCGCACGCTTACCGCTATATCAGAGAATCCTACTCTAACCCAGATACTTAAGATAAACCCGTTATCACCGTCTTTCTAGGGCGACTTGTCCTTTTCCGTACCTAGTAGCGTTAGTAGAACTGCTGAACGAGCTAGTGGCAGCCTATCAGGTTCTCGATAGGTTCCTATATGTTTTCCGAGGTATCGTATCCTCGCTATTTCACTAGGTAGTAAGGTTTTCCGCTAACTTTGTTTGTGTCTAGGATTTCCTTAACTTCGTACTCGTTTTCTGTTTCTTCCTCGATTTCAATATTAGTAGCGACTTCGGCGTTCTTAGGTGCTTTTTCTAATAATAAGATATAAAATATTGCATAGATACGTTGTATACTTTCGGGTAGTCTTAGTCGATAATTAAGTAGTCCTGTTTTTTCTTCAATTTTAAATAGTCCTAGTTTGAGATAATCGAGTTTTGCGCTAGGTCGTCTAGTACGAATATTACGTCGCAAAAGGTAAACTTTCTCCCCCTTTTAAAAGTCCGGCGCCTCCTAGCGCAATTAGTCGTAGTAGAATTTCATACGTATATTAAGAAACTCGATATCTCGGGATAGCTATAGGTATAATTGTTTCAATCCGGTCGCCAGTAGTCGAGATAATTCTGCGAGTGATTGTTTTCCAATTAGTTCTCTGATAATCGTGGGATTAAACCTATAATTTGCGAAGAATAGTGTCTCCTTAGTCGTGGAGTGTATAGCGTTATTATACGCGAACTAAGCTATTAGTAACAATCCTGTCTAGTCGTCTTGCTAGTAGTTCACATAATATCG